GTAAAGCCTAATTTTGCGAGTATACGGATGGTTTTTCGAGTATATTCTTGTAGAGGAAATCAAGTTGATCATTTTTAGGAAAAACCCGAACTCAATAATCAAATTCTATCGAGAGAAAAAAAGCCGCGAAAAAATCCGCAATAATTATGCATCAACCTAATAAAAACAGAAAATCCTCCAGCGATCTTCTAGCACTTGAAGTACTTATCCCCTATCGTTAAGGGAAATCCAAAAAATTCCATTACCGTTATATGTGATTGGATTTTATCATTCCTTATCGCTTCCGACCATTCTAGGGTCCGTTCACCCATCACGCCGTTATCACCTCCGCACTTTTTTAGTGATAATGCTAATGCTCGTTAGTCAAAACGAAGGCGTAAGCAAGTCCGTGCGTTGATGTCTCTCAAGCCTTATGGGGCGTTGTCACTTCTTCGAGGTCTTTCATGAATACGGTCTTCCATGAAGTTCATCTCCAACCTAATATGGCAGTCTCTAATTGACGGATTCTGCTTTCGAAAAAGGCAAGATAATGAAAATATCTTCGCCACCTTCAGTCGCCACAGTCTGCCATCCTTCTACCTAAACATCCATGGCAATCCATACACCTCAATTAGGAAATTAGGTCAGACTGAAGTTGTACCGGACTCAGGGTATCCCTCTTGAGACCAATTATCAGGAATGACTATTTCCTTCAGCACCAATTATCAGCTTTTAACAGCTCCTATTACTTCACTTTTACTAGCATTTTTGAGCTTCCTTTTTTTTTCAAATACCACACTGAAGCGTTACACCCCAATATCTAACTACATAACACCCTTTATTACTGCTTACCAGTTGCTCTCATTTTCTGTTGTCAGCTTAGCGCCACCATAGGCCTTCATGGCCCGTTCACGAATCCCTATGCCAAGTCCATTACAAAGGATATGATAAATTTCATGACATAGAAGCCGATAGGCGCACAGGCACAGACATTTGATACTTATAAAAAAATAAAAATATAAAGTATAATTCGTATAAAAATAAATACAAAATAATAATAGATAAAAAAATAAAATCAAAAATAAAATAACTTTATTATAATACAATATAAAATAATAAAATAAAGTGGAGGGACTTCAACACCAATAAATTACTAGGGTCATTACAACCAGTTCATGTTTAGGTAGGCCTCATAGGAAATGCGTTAAATATCGCTGCTGTGGTGATGATATACCGTACGCCTTCATTGCACAATGCTTTCGGATTCATTTGTGCTTCACATCTGCTCGCCGACGTTGGCCTACTCACCGTGTTTTCGTTTTGGGCTGCTCCGATGCTTCTTTTGTGAGTTTTACCAAATAGTCTACACAAAGGTCTATAGAACAGTCTCCAATGTTGCACCAACCTGACACTTTGAGGGCTTACTTCACAGAGCTCCTACAACAAAACCAGAAATGACCCAGTATGGGAGGAAGCTTGAAGTGACCTCAACTGAAGCGTGTTACTGTGTTAATAGCCAAATCAGCGCGTTTCTGAACATAGTGAAGAACTTTCTAAACATTTGGGTCGACAGCAGTAAGTGGTCAAAGGATATGCTTTCGACTGGCTATGAACAGCCTAATAAGTCCCAATTTGTTTGGGAGGCATGAAGGAGACAGTGTACGAATGATGTGGTCAAATGCACCGATCTGGCCTAAAAAGGAAAGGTCTGTTTTCTGAAGGATTTCGTGCATGTTTCGATAATGTAAAATTCAGCGGTGCTCCTGAGTCATTAACCCAATCCTATATCGGTAAAAGAATGGGTCAGCTTGTTGTTTTATTCTGGTATGCATCTATATATGGCCAGTTACAAATAGCTTTGAATCGACTTTTGGCTATCATATCTCCTTTGATGTACAGGTACGTATCGAAATATGGCGATAAAATACTTTGAACTTGTGGACTGTACTGCTCAAAACAAAAAATAAGAGTAAAACAAAAAAATTAAGTCCATGCCTACATGTGACATTTTTCAGTACTGCGTTTTCTGCAGAACGGACCATACGGATCTTGGTGGTATTCTGGATAATTTCATTCCTTCAAGTTGCAGTTCAATTTTTTGGTAAGTTTTAGCTTTTTTTAAACTTTCAGTTCAGTCGTCTGTGTGAGAGTTTGGAAGGTTTGGAAGGAACATAATAACTTTCCGTGGAAACCTCACTCGCTTATGCCCTCTTGGCATGAAGCACCAATCATGCAAGCGCTCAGTACGCACGATCACGCTAGTTCAGTTGCAATCTTCGAGTTGGGCACCTGGGGAGCCAAGGGTGGGTGACCGAAACCGACGCGACAGGGCCAACGCTTGTATTAAATCGCGTCCTTCGGAGTCTTCAGAAGATGTGCTGCTTCAAGCGAGTACCGGTCCGTAACTACCTAATTCTCCTCCAGCGCATTGGTGAATACTGAATGTACCTACTGCTATTGGGCCCCCATGCTCCAAACGAGACTGTTCCCATCGAGGTTTTCCTGCGCCTACCGTGCCAATTGCCTCATACCCATCACCACGGAANNNNTGCTATCTATTGTGACACTTGGTGTGTATGTGAATTTTAGTAAAATTTTCTCTCGAAATTGTAACAATGTTTTCAGACGGATGTACATTTGCGTTCCATGTTGACATGCTATTTTGGTCGTATGCTAAAACCGAATGCGGTCAGACACTGGCTCTATACTTGGCTTTTTTTCATGGAGCAATTTTGTGCGCTATAGTCGTTATCATTGATACCATTGCATTTCTTGCTATTCTGAAGAATGCAAAGGTACTCATTGTGTGTTGTCTGAGTTTTATTTTCACTTACTACTTGTGGAAATCCTGAATCCCTTTTCACTCCTTTACATATATGTATGATTCCAGAAGTTAAGAAAGTCCATAGGTAAAGCTCAGGAGACGATTATGCTGAAGAATAATGTACGGCTTTACGGGCAGGTGAGGGTTATTTTACACTTACAACTGCAAAATTTAAAAAAGAATTGTTAGTTCATTTGAAAATATCCCCAAAAAACTTCAAAAGCCATCAATGAGGTATAAAAGCTGTTCCCACCACGTTTCACCACTCGCCGTTCCCACCATTTCATGCAGAGGCAATTCCCTGCTAACGGTTTTTCTAGACACTGACCTGCCGCCCCGTTGATCACCGATTTTCTGAAGCACACGCTAGTAACGTCTCCATTCACCCTTGTCGCGAGACGGTGAGGTCCAGATCAAGTGTTGCTTTCGAGTAATCTTGTCATCGCTATCGTTGCATAAGGAGGACCGCTTGGTGCTGGCTTTAGAAGATTCTGTGTGTTGCATGGAATGACAAGAAAGAATAGTAGTGTAAAAAGCGCAGACTAATGATGTATCCGAAGAGGTACGTACCGCTGGTTGTACTCGATTTGTTGGATTTGAGTAAAGTAGACGCATCTACTCAGTAAGCTCTTCGGAACTACATGCCGTCGCAGGGCATAGAATATAACATCACACTTCATTGAAAAGTTTTTTGGACGAGTTTTAATAATTTGTGCGAGCATTATCTTTCTTTTTAGGGTTGTGTCCAAGCCTTATGCTTCGTATTAGCAATTTTGGCTTTTCATTTTACACCTGGATTGTTGACAACAAAATGGTCAAGATTCGCTACGCTAACTGCTGGATGGGAATTTGTCCATGCGGTGGATGGGTACGACTTGTGGTTTGATCAATTATTTCACACATCTGGAAGTAATGTTTATTCAGGCTCATCTTGATTTTATTTCACGAAAAATTCCGCGTACTGCTGTGTCATCCGTCTTCACTCTGGCAGAAAGCAGCTCCACCCACTTCCGCGACACCAAGGTATAATTTCAGTATTTTGACAGAAAAACCACGTTAGCAACTACAATCCTGGAGGCGGTCTGGGTGGTTATATGTGGTAGGCGGTATGGTCATTTTAGCAAGGTGTGGATTTGCAGTTCCTTGAACGACTCACTGTAAACTTAGGGTGGTGACCACATTCTAACCAAAAGGTAATCCTGCCCAGGTATCGACTTTTGTGGTCGCATCCTGAAGCTTTCCTTCAGCTTGTTCCTTGCCATGTCATATTTAGATCGAGCAGTCAATGCGAAACTTCTATCCTTTTTCCTTTTACGTTGATTTCCCTATTCTTTCGTCCATTTTTTCAAACTCTGAAACGTACACTTCTTCAGAACGGATAGAATATTTTCACTTTCAGGTCGAGGCGTATTGCCAATTTTTGAATGGAACGTCTTTTCATTACGTTGCTCTACATACAAATTAGCTATTTTGGTGAGAAGTACCGTGTATAGAACAACTACGGACCGCATTCGAGTGACACGAAATGAATTAAAAACCAGCATCGACAACCTTATCATTCGCTATGTCTTTCGGATCAATGATTTGAAGCCAAAGGATGGCAGAAATGGACGCCATTTCCGTAACCAACAGCAAAGCCAAAAATCATCATATTATTAACATTTACATGTATATACTAAATTTATGCGGTATCTACGATTATGTGATAGAAGAATAATTGGTTGTAAAGCATGGGTATAAATATTCTGTGCTTAGACTACTACGAATACTATGCAAAAACGAATATAAATAAATATGGAAAACTACACTATGCAATCTATGAACGGTACGATCCTGCTCATATTCATATCGGGCCATCTCCTCCAACCAACCCGCTTCCTTGCGGCATCGTGGAACGGCGACCGGCGATGGATATGAAGAGTGCGCACAGCTGAATGAAGTAGGATCAGACTCCAGCGATTGAGACGGAATGGAAGGAATGATGCAATCGTCGAACGATATCAAGAGCCGGCCAGAGAGGCCAGCGACTGAACGAGGCCACGTGGTGTCCTCTCGCTCTTTCCAGATTTCGGCACTATTTACCCTTTACCGCCCCACCTTGTCGAGAATGGGCTGGATTTCTACCGAATTTTTTCAAAAAAGATGAAACCGGCTAGAAACGTGCCTACAGGGGTAACTTGACCCGTAGAACACGAATATGGCATCCATTTGTCTTAAAGGCACCATTCACGACTAAAAGTTATTGAGATCTTACCTTATTAATACACAGCGGCCCCCATGGGTTGTTGAAGGGACCCTCTCACTCCCCCAATCTCGACGTCCAGGGCGTAGTGGCAGCTCCGTTGTTGACGTAATTCGCATCTCCGCCCCTCGACTGATGTCAGCGATTTGGCGCAGGCGCCTAGCGCTTGCGCTACTTTGAAAAAATTCGATAGAAATCCAGCCCTTTCTCGACAGAGTGGGGCAGTAAAGGGTAAATAGTGCCCAGATTTCTGTATTTTCCCGGGACACAGTGTGCGCCACGCCAGTACTCCTATGTATTCGAATGAAAGGCACGACATGTGGTTTTATGTAGTCGAATAGGGGAACGGAATATTAGTGCGTTCGGAGATGGACGCGGTTCCTTCTATCGGTCAAGCCTCAAATCTGGGCTTCTTCGCTGATCTGTGTACATTTTTCATGTAATGATGATAGAGTCGCCCAAATGGGTTGAAAGCTACCATAGCAAGTGATCTTTATCCAAAATCGTAGAAGCCTCTGAAGAAGGGGGGGAGGGGGGGAGGGTTCTGCAATAGTGATGTTATTCTCTCAGACTACCTCCTTTTACGTCAGCTCATTAGCGGTGTCAAAAATCGTTCGCTTACAGCAAGAATCGTTAAAGGCATCGCAAGGCTAGACTTTGTTCCGCTAATGGTTTGTTTTTCAGATGACTGAAGCATAAACGAATAAAAGAAAAGTGCGAAGAAAAAGAGGCAAGCTTTTACCGACCTCCACGATTTCATTTGGTTGTTGATGAGTTCATTTGGTTGTTGTTCTACAGTACACTATTAATTCAAAAGTGCCAGACTTTCCTCAACATCTTGTTGCAACTTTTGATTATGAACCAGCGAATATACTTTGTTTTTTCTCCACCGCCCACATCGCGGGGCTGGACTTGTTGTGTGGGTGGAGAGGATGGGCAGTAGAGGTTTCCTCTGCGTATGGTAGACCATCACAAAATCGTCTACTATCCCGTACTGCTCACAGGTGTCGTGGCCTTCAATTTCCACCTCTATTGAGTCCTTGGTAAACTTGCGTTCACTAACTATATTGTATCGTATTGTATGGTCGCTTCACAAGAAAAAAAAACGGAAGCGTGATCAGGCTTCCTCTGGGCTAGCATTCTCACGCTTGAACGAATAGGTTCCTGTTGATGTAGCAATCGTGATCTAGAGTTTTATTTATACTTGGCATCCGTCATGAGATACAATCCCAGTACCTTCTCTCGGAAAGGGGCGTAAGTAAACATGCAGAAGCGGAAGTAAAGTGAAAACATAAAATAACGAAACACTGATCAGGCGTACTGTCTAGTTCTGTATCACTAATTATGAACAAAAGTGTTGTGTTCATTGAAAGCCAAATGAGGTGTGGATTTCAGAGGCCACTGCTCATTTTTACCTACTCATGGAATGTTCGGCGTATTGTTTCCTTCTTCGAGACCTCAGTGCCTGGTAGTTAACTCAACAGACGATGAGATGGTTCACTGAGTACAGCAATTCTTCAAATTGCTCATTATAAATCATTCGATTATGCTTGAATACAGTTACAACTTCTCTCTCGTTCTTGCCTCGGCAGAGTAGTTTGTGTTCGCATTGTTGTTGTTTGCTGTTGTTGTTTTGTAAAACAACGTTAAGAAACGTTTTCTATACAACACACTCCAGTACGAAAATTGATTTGTTAACTTATTACCACCTAGTTACGACCAGGAAAGCCTTAATTTATTAACGTTTTCAAAACTAATGTCTTTTAGAAAAATTCCATATGCCAATGTTGGACAGTCGATCAGAAGAAGTCATTGCCGGGACAATTGTGCTTACGGTGAGATTCTTCGAGAGATGTTCGTGCTCTTTTTGGACCTAAAAGACGTCGCTCCTCTTGCTGAGACGCCGCTGATATGTACATGTTAGGGGAGACGGGCAGTAGGATCGGTTTTGTGTAATCGATTCGCCGCATGCGGACCTCTCGCCGCAACGCGTCAATTTCGATCCTACTGCACCACATCCACATACTGGGCTCTCCATGTCGACCGATCCGAGTGGTACCAGTTCATATTCCTTGTCAGTAGTATATTATATTCTCCAGATCTCCCCCTTTGTGTATATTACATCTGTTTCTTGCATTATGATATGAAAGAATTTCTATGATAAGGCGCTCCACTGCCTGTTACTCTCCATCTCTTTGGGTGGAGGTGGTGCAGTGGCAAATGGTGCACCATCTCACACGCATGTCGCCAGTTCGAATCTAGGATCGACATCCGCTTAGGCTTTTAGTCTTTTTGGGCTCGGCTAATTGGGGCTAATTGGTATCAGACTCGTCTTGAAGGATAAAAGCACTGACTTGTAGGTCGGCTGCTTACTGCCAGTCATTGTATAGGCCACATACGCATTCATTACGCCTCTACCATCCTGAGTGGAAATCGAATGCGGGGCGCATTCCTCAGACGAGATTGGTTGAAGTCAAAAGACTTTATCCTTTATCCTTTATTGATTTATATCAGTGAATGCCTTCTAGTTGCCCATGTCATCTTGTCTTATCAGCTACCGGCACTTTTTCCCACAATAGTCTACCATCTTCAACCCTGTCTCACCCTTCATAACTTGAGGCCGAACTTCACTGCTGAAATGAGAGACATTACGAATTTGACTCCTCTTGATATCAAACCCCATCAACTAACGTCCATTCAGCATCTCCCGAATCCATTTCGAATTTCTAACACTTAGGTTATGAGCGAAGCAAGTAATGAGGCTCTATTAAAAACACAGGCGCTTGCCAAATATGAAAAGTCAAATGGCAGTGCCAAGAACTTCCTGCTAACAACCATAACAATCGATTCTTGTTCAGGTAGGCCTCATAGGAAATGCGTTGAATATCGCAGCTATCTTACTGATATATCGTACGCCGTCATTGCATAATGCTTTCGGATTCATTTGTGCTTCACATTTACTCTCCAACATTGGCTTACTCGTCGTGTTTTCGTTTTGGACTGCTCCGATGCTCTTGATGTAAGTTGCTGGAAATTTCGATTGCTCTTCATAACAGTGTGGGCGAGTATGATCCGTACTTTCAACCCTGAACCTCCACTCAACGGCCACCGCATGTGGAAACATCCTTTTCCATTTCGGAGAGACAGCTTTATTAGTACCTTAATGCTAAACTATACCGATCAAAACCTGCGCGTAAGGCAGATGAACACCGTATGCTCGTGTAAAAATTGAATAGGGTTCCAGTGGGCCAGTCAGGTTGAAGCATTGGAGGTCGGACGACCTGCTGATTTTTGTCCTATTGAGCAAAGATGTGCCTTTTACGCTGTGATAATGAAGCAGTTCAGAGGCTGCTCTGAGTCAATAACCCAATCATACATCGGTCAAAGAATGGGTCAGCTTGTTGTTTTATTCTGGTTCGCAACTATATATGGCCACTTGCAAATCGCCTTAAATCGTCTAGTGGCTATCATATCTCCAGTGTTGTACAGGTAAGTGGTAAAGAGTACAGTTCGTCTTTTTTCTCACTGTACTGTGTCCGATCTACTTTAGCTCTACATTCACCCGAATACGCACCATACAAATCTTAGTGATATTTTGGTTTATTTCCTTCATGCAAGTCGCCGGTCAATTCTTCAGTGAGTTTAAAGGCACTAATCACCAAAAAATGGTTTCGGAGATCTGCACATGGTTTGAATTCGACGCCCCCTCTGATAGCATTTGTGCAGGAATGAGGTCGGAAAACGGTCTGGATAGGGCACAATAAGGGCTGGAACA